TGTTAACAACAAGTTTACTATTTTTTACGAGCTTTTAATTAATACATTTCTGTAGCCAGTTTTGTCTCTGTGATAGAGTTTAAAAGTCTAAAATTTTTAGCAATTGAATTCCCAGTTATGCGTTTTTTAATAAATTTATTTAGATGTGTGAACAAGAGTACTTAATCAGGTTAGAGAATAATATTATAAGTAGGATGAACATTTCCTTTATGTCGGCAATCGATCGAATACAGCAAAGTAAGATTTTGAATCGTATCAGTTTAAGGCAAAACAGCAAAACCAAACAACGCAAAAAAGGGGAAAAAAAACCATTTATTTCAGGTTGTTTCCAATCCATTCTACCCTGATTTACTATGAAAAAAAGTGTGATAATAACATACAATGAACTGTTCAGATTAATCTGCTCCTTAGAGGCTTTTTCTATCTCCAAGCCCGGCGGTATTAAGACTGTTCAGGTGGAATCTCCATCTCCCTTTTGTTTTTCTTCTTCTTGGGAGCCATTGGCGTCTGGCTTGACTTCCTTGCCGTCTCCACCCGGTTTCCTACCTTCGTCGCTGGGATTTCCGCCTGTAAGAGCAGCTTTCTTCAACTTTGCAACAGCACTGTAAAGCCTTTCAGCAAACACAGTCAGTCCCTCCAAATGCGTTAATGCGTTTGGAAGTGCCTCTTCTCCAACGGCTCTGGTCAGCTCGTACAACATTATCTGCGGATCCACTTTCTCCAGGTCTAGAATGCCAACCTGCATGCAGTAGCAGAAAGCATTCGTGCATTCGTCCTTCAATCCTTTCGAAGCGAAAGAGTACTTATACTTCATGTAGTCGAGCCGTATTAAGCTGTTGTTGGCGTAGATGACGTGAAAATCAGTCTTCTCGGCCTCGCCTGCTGATGTGTTGCCCAAAACCTCGTTAAGAGCTACACTTAGGAGGTTTTTTAACCCACCTAAGAAATCGCCACTCATGACCTCGCCTATGGCATTTTCAATACCATTATCTGGCACGCTTGTGACCTGGATTTGGTATTTTTCTGACTTGTCCACAACTGATACAATAGGAAGGCTTTTGTCTTCCGCCGCCTCATCCCCCATCTTGTTGGATGCTGCTGTAATCTTATCGACCATCATATTATGGACCATCTGCAGCTTTTCTCTTGTCTCGGTATCGTTTTTGTCTTGCATCTGTTTTATCTTGTCTGTTATGTTCCCCATTACCGGATTACTTTTTCATACGAAACCTAGTAGCTGATACAATCTTCTTCACAAGACCACCTTTCAGTTGTACAGCGAACCATCAACTCCTCATAAATTTGAACCCTTGGCATATATATTTCGATTGAACATGCGATGGTTGCTGCGCACACCCTACCTTACTAGCAAACATCTTTGGAAAACAATAAGCATTGTGCCTCTGAAAAAACTAATTTTCAAACTTGACAAAGTTTGATTAACTCAGTTAGACTTTGAGCATTCTCTCACGTTTCTGCAAATCTCTACAACAGTTATGAATGTTTGCTAAAAAACTATTGGTAGGATATTATTTTTAATCAATCTAGACCAAGTTTTGAATGTTGTTTGGCTTTTACTTACACGGAAATTGACTCAGTTAATGACTTCCGAAGAAAAGGTTTTTCCAAGAGAAAAATCTAAATAAATGAAATATGCATTTTCTCTACTTTAAAAAAAATTTCAGGAGAAAATCTCATCAGAGCTTCGCAGTTAAAGCAAACTTAGAAAATTACGGCTTGATGTCCAGTCTCTCATGGATAAGGGAACAGCAGGAACACAGGTGTTTCATGTCGTGAATCTTCAAATGAGTAACGTGAAGATGAAGATGACTGCCATTAAATGGGATCTGGTTGTGAAAGCTATAGCGAAGATCAAATGCAAAAACCAAAAACTGAGGTATATGTGAGGATCGAGTTCAATCCCCTGACCGTGCCAAACGTTCGTATCACCTATGACTTACGTTGCTACTGGTTACTTAGTGCAGCATGATTAGAACAATGCTATTACGCGTTGTGCACGGTACGCAGCTAAATAAAAGCTAACCAATACAGTTACCCTCTTTTAATTTATTATATCTTCCTCATTGAATGCATTTCATTTACTCTTTTATGGCCGTTTTTTCTTTCGAAATGTTTCGTAAACCAAGCTACCAATAGCTTAAAACAGGGGCGGGGGGGGCGGGGTGTACTTCCTATAAGGTCTATAGGCCCGAAACCGGTGCCCTTTTCAGGCCTCAGGTATATGAAAAGGTAGAGAATTAACTAGTTTAAGTATATTGAAGGGGATGGAACTTCGTCATTTCGGTCTGTAAAAAGACTTAAAAGCAGGCTAACCGATGCACCTTTGACTGCGCAACCGGGACAAGAAATTTTCCTAATTTCGTGATTTATTCATAATTTTGGTTTTCACACATAGATCCTCCTTAGTTTTTACTTTCAAGAATTATTAGAATGGCTAAAAACATATTTTTCACATATTGTCAGATCGAAAGCTTCTTCGTTTTGTGATCATGTTCGCTTGAATTTCTTAACTTTTGCGTGATACGGCATTTACTTGGAGAGAGAACTGTCGTGTAGGTTAAAAAAGTGACTTACTTTCCTGGATTTTCCATTCTGGATAGTCCTTGTTTTAGAAAAAAATATTACTTCAATGTTTATGAGTTCCTCGAGAGATGAATTTATGCTTTCGTAGCAAAACTCGTTTACAGATGTTTCTATTGGTTTCCAGCAGCTACGTTGGTATCCCTCAGAGGGACAGCAACATGGCGTCACCCACAAAGCTCTGCAAATATATCGTGTGACACGAAATTTTTGTAGGAGTTTATTTTTGCGGATTGGCGATTTTTTTGTGTTTTCGCGGGAGCTCATGATTTTTTGCGATTAGGAAACAATGGTTTTTCTTGCTGGGAATTAATTTTCGCGACTTTCAGAAATTACCGGACCCAGCATTGATAAAATTTTCGTTTTTATTGAGTACATTTGTACGTGCAACAGAAATGAATACGCCAAACAATACTCACGGTGTGAGTATCCTATGTAAAACCAGTAATAAATTGTATACGGTTTTGTTTCTGAAGGAAAGAGACAAAGTTGTAATTGAACAGAAACAAAATCTTGGTATTTTTGTGTAGAGAATTTATGTTAGAGAATATTTACTCTGGAGTAAATTTTTGCGGGGAAAATGTTTGCGGTAATATCTTATTTGTGGGAACTTTTTTTGCGGATCGCTGGAAAAATTGCAAAACACGCAAATACAAATTAGAACCCGCGCCACACGGTATATGAAAGGGGAACCTTTTCTGTCAAAAATGGTATATGCATGTATAAAACTAGGGGTCGGACCTCGGTGCGGAGCTTCCCCGTTTGTAACTTCGTTGAGTGTCTCCCCCAGATCAAATGATCGCCCTGATACTGTTTTAAACGGCGATAGAACAAAAAAAAAAAAAAAAAGATGGTCCGATTGGGTGTCTTGCTGAGGTTCATACGGAAGTCATTTAGATAGGTAATTGTAAATGAATTTGAAACTGGAAGAAAATATAATTATAAAAATACTCGCACTTGAAGATGACGACGAAACAGAGGTGCATCTTTTGCGTTAACTCAGTTTATCACAGAAACTCTTTCTGTCTTGCAAATAAAGTTATAATAAGAGAAATATGGGGAAAGGGCTGCTAGGTAAATTCAATCTCGCTGTGGAATTCATTTACAAACAATCTCCAATATTCTGTCAAAAAAATGACAGCCCAGAAAAAGAACCTTTTTTCCTTATTCAGGGTTGTTGATGAAGGACGTTAAAGGTAATCTGACAAAGGTCATTCTCAAGAAAAATGCATGACCTAATTGAAAAGGGTCCCGCCAGCTCATTCAATTGAACATGTCGATTAATTGCGTATATCAGGTTATGTTTGAAGAGCATGTATGAAACTTTTTCGCTGTTAGTTTAAGTGACTAGGAACTCAATTCCAAAATGCTAGAAAGTTTCATCTTTATCTCCGAATACTAGAGACTTTATTGAAAGCAAAATTGTAAGAGAATCAAAGTTAAATGAACACAACCGCCCCTGGACACGTCACCTTATGCCCAAAGCCCTTCGTATGTAGAGTTTTTCACCATAGAGCCTCAATAGATAGGGAAGCCACGCGTGCGATATGCTCAAAAGTTTTCCTCTTTCCTGATCAGTTAGCAGCATATTTAAGAATCCAGGGTAGGTGACAGTTGTTTCTCTAGTAAAGAGAAATAAATGTTTTTTTTTTCAAAAACAAAGTCGTGCGCGTGAACAAAACTTTATTTCCCATCAATTCTAAGCATGATTACCAATAAGAATGGTTAAAAAGCTCTTGGGACTTTTCATAAAAGAAAGTGAGTTTCATGCAGCGCTTATCATAAAGAATCTTTAATAAATCACAATCATATCCGGGTGCAAGTGACTCCGTTCTTTTTCAGAGGCAGCAGGTTGTTAGCAACAAGTCATTGACAAGTTTACCATGCTAGTTTTGACGAGCTTTCAATTAATACATTTTTGGCCGCCAGTTTTGTCTCTATAGTAGAATTTTTGTAAGGAATTGAATTCCCAATTATCCCTTTTTAGAAAATTTATTTAGATGTGTAAACAAGAGTATTTCTTAGTCAGGTTAGAGTGATACTATTATAAATGGGGTGGTACTTCTTAGTCAGGTTAGAGGGATGCTATTATAAATGGGATGAAGAATTTTTTTATGTCGGGAATCGAATACAGCAAAGTACGTTTTTGAATCGTATCAGTTTTATTAAAGCAAAAAAGCAAAACCAAACAATGTAAAACAAAAGAAAAAAATTTTAATTATCCTGTCATCAAAATCAAAATGTTTAGCATAACAATTCAAAACTACATTTCACTGTCTTTAAAAACCCTGCCGAAAGGTGAATCATTTCAGTGGCTACAGAGAGTGACCAAGGCTTAGAAGAAACAGAGAGCTACTGAGACAGTGAGAGATTTGTTAAGTGAAAGTTCTATTGAAAATATGGGTAACCCCATATCAAAGGCAATTAAAGAGCAACAGAAAAAAAATGACGAGGAGGCTGTGGAGGCATTTCAGCTTATGCACAAGAGGATGCAGAGCAAGATCGACTCTGCATCTGCCAAAGTAATCTATTCATTAATTTTATAATTTCGAAATTTAAAGAAAGGAGGACTTTGTTTTGGTTCAGTTTATATGCAAGCTATTCATTAAACCGAGTACATGTAGATTGTTTTTAAGACGGAATTCATCGGAAAATTCGCGGAGTAATTTGAATTTTCAGTGTACAAAAACCTTTGTACTTTTTCGTGGAAATTGTGAAAAGACAGGCAAAATTTCACCCGTAAGATTTTGATTCTGTAAAATTTGAAATATACTTTCTCGGGCTCCCATAAGAAATTTTCTTTGGTGTTATTAGAGGTAACTAATTAAGTCTGTGGCCCTTGAAAAGTTTTAAAATAGAATACAGTACTCTTAAGTACAAGGTTTTTGACCACTGAAAATTAAAATTACTCAATTTCCTGGTGGAATCCGTCTTAATTTCCCTTGATCGTCACTGCCATACTCAAGTCATCAAACCTTTTGCTGTTATCGTTTTTTTTTCTTTAGTGAAACAATTAGTTAAATAGCTTTAAATGCTAGTTGACACGTAAAATCACATGATCCAGCTACAATACTTAAGCCTGAATTTTTTTTAGATGGAGAACTCAGCCGTAGAGGATAAGAGTTTGCCAATCGTCGCGGTCGTGGACAAATCGATGAAATACTCGATTAAGGTTTCCAGCGCTACAAGTGAAGAAGTCGGGAAAGCCATCTGCGAGGTCCTTAAGGGGGATTTCCTCAGTGGCGTCACAGACCTGATAACGGTGGGTTTGAACGCGATGTTGGGAAATGAGTCGGTTGGCGAAACTGAAAAGCAAGACTTCCATGTGGTGTTCGCGAACAATAGCCTTTTGCGCATCGATTGCATGTTTTACAAGTACGAATTTAGCTCGAAAGGGCTCATCGACAAGGCCCAGAACATCTTCTGCTACTATCTTCAGGTTGGCGTTCTGGATCTGGAAAAGGTGGATCCACAAATTCTGCTGTATGAGCTCACTAAAGCCGTCGGAGAGCGCAGTCTTCCAGGTGCTTCCAGACACTTAAAGGAGCTGAATGCTTTCGCCAAGGATTCTTTACTCTGCGATAAACGAAATGGGCAGGGCAGCTGTTGGTGAAGTTGAAGGCAGTCCGTCAAATCAGCCCATGGCGATTGCAATTGCTAACTCCATGTTCAGTCCAAAGGAAAAGGAAGAAAGAAGAAAAAAGGCTATCGTGGCGCGCTACTATAGGCACAAGCATGCTTGTTTCTTCGAAGAAACTGTAGAAGAAGGGGACGGTTCGGACGAGTAGTATGTTGGCAGCGAATAAACCTGTCTATTATAACAACCTTTTCAGTAGAAGAACAGCCCTGCATTAACATTAAACCCCTTCAGACCGGGGGGGGGGGCTTTTGAGCCCATTTAAGCCCAATTAACACCAAAACGTAGACATTTTTAGTTAAACACGGTTTTAAATATGTTACTTCATTTAACGCCGCTTCCTGAATTAATCTGATGTTCATTTGAATCCTGTGTAAAAACCTGTGTTATAGTTTTCCGTTTTTATCATTATTATTTAAACCTGACAAAACTATACATGTTTATTTGCTGTGAATGGAGCGTTAGCGACTTTTCCTAACAATTAACTGGGGAACATTTTAAAGTCATTGTGTCGTGTATGTTAACTTTGCCGTTACCATGATACTAGAGATTTTGACAGCCATGTTTTGGTTTGAAAATTTGCTTGACTTGACTGACTTTTTTTTGTTCATTGAATTATAGCGCTACATGTAATTTAGCAATATTTCATCAAATTTGTTATAACTCGTGTCTCTTTAGTGACTGATTTGGGAAAATATGAAACACGAATTTAAGGGTGTGTCTCGTTAATAAATCCGAGATCGGATCAAAAATCCGGATCATTAGGATTTTTCGCTAAGAGAAGAAACGATGTATTCAAAAAGAATTATTTTTCATTCATTTTCATAGAAACTACCCAAAATATCGACGGTATCCTGGAGAAAAGGCATTTTACGTTTCTGGGAAACTACCCACCTACCCCTTCCCTAAACCCACATTAACACTTAGTTCTTATGTAGGGCAAAATGTTGGCTTAGGGGAGGGGTAGGTGGGCACTTTCACAGAAACGTAAAATGATCCCAGAAAAGAAAAACACGGCTGCTGATGATGATGATTCAAATTTGTTGATCTTTCATTTTTTCTGGACGGTTAGCTCAAGGATACTGCTTGAAGATGATTCTTAAAAAAAGATATCTACTGGAAAAGAAACTGTTGCGAGACGCGCCGGCGAAGTTGTGTAGCAGTTTTGTTTCGCGATTTGTCGTTGTGAACTAGAACAATGCAGGTCCCGATTGTATTGCGATTTTACTATCCCCATAAAACGGATAAAATCGTAGTGTTGTCGAACAGCTGCTGTATTTGTAAAAATGTTTCGAGTTCTCGCTGGCTGTATTCACTCTTTTCGGATTCTTAGTAAAGAAACGCTTAGGATAATGTATCCAAAGAATCCGTTTTTGAAACGCACCCTAAAATGACCAGATGGCAGATGCTGGGTTCAATTATTAACGGTGATGATTTCTCTCAAAATTTCATAACTTGCTGATTTTTATTTTGTCTCCTAGGCATCACGATTACATTGATTCGATTTACATGGGTTTTAACTGTAAAGAAATGCATTTATAAAATGCGAATCCAAGATGGCGAATCGTTCCAGATTCTTCTCTTATTTTAAATTACGTCATCATGACATCATAACATCACTGCTATTGAAAGATGTGTTAGCCAACTGCTTAATTTTGCCAGACACCTTACTATCTAAATGTGATTTTTGGCTTTGAGGTAAAATTGATGGAATCGGATTCTGCCAATTAATTCAACAATATGACGTCATAATGGCGTTAAACTATGTCATTATGTCAATCAAATTATGCCTCGATGTTGGAAATGATAAGGGCATTAGCCTGTATAATTTTGGTGGCCTTATCTTGAGCGGTTTTGAAGTTATTGAGGGGGAGGGGGGGGAAAGGGTCCTAGGTGGCGGGAAGGAAAACCTTGGAAAAAAGAATTGTCAAATAGGTTCAGCGCATTGTTTCCTATATTGAGTTAGTTTTGAAATGATTTTAGGACAGCTGCAATAATGGATGGTCATAATGTTTTCGGTGCTTAACACAGTTGTTTTTCGTCTATGTTGTCTTTACTGAAGTGCTACCTAGGGGTTCAGATAAAAGATAAGCGAGGAGACGGCACAAAGATAAAGGCTGGTTTTCACTAGCGACGGAGTCGGAGCCGTAATTAGAAGCGTAGAGCTTACGATCTAGTGAAAACAGCGTTC